TCATCCAATGCAATGGAACCTGCGGCAGCTGTCAATATATGGCAGAGGACCTTGTCTTATGAAACTCCACTGCGATTCACCAGCTTCCTAAGTGATGGTGACAGCAAGGCCTACACTGCAGTCTGCGAGGCAAATGTATACTGTGACACCCCCATTGACAAAGAAGAGTGCACGAACCACGTTGCAAAGCGCTTGGGAACTGCCCTACGGAAATTGGAAACGCCACTGCCACGAGGCGAAAAACTGAAAGATGCGACAATAATAAAACTACAAACATATTACAAGATCGCCATCACGAGCAACAAGGACAGTGTCCGAAATATGTACACTGCCATATGGGCATCGTATTTTCATTGCTGCTCCAGTGATGGTGCCAGTAGCCACAACTTTTGCCCCGCGGGACCAAATTCGTGGTGCAAGCACAAGCGTGCGGAAGCACTGGGGAAGCCTGCACCACGCCACACCCCACTGTTGACGAAGGCTCAAGGATTGGCAATTATGCCTATCTACAAGCGCCTTACAGCGGAGAAACTTCTTATTCGGTGCCTTCATGGCAAGACACAGAATGCAGCCGAATCGCTGAACAGCAAGATATGGCTGCTATGTCCAAAAACAGAGTTCTCCTCCAGAACAACTGTGGAGACAGCCACCGCTCTTGCTGTACTCTGGTACAACGAAGGCCACAGGGGCTTTGAAGAAGTGCTCGAAGGCATTGGAATTCTCCCCTCACAAGATCTGGCCACACATGGTGACCACTGTGACGTCATGCGCATCAGGAAGATGAACCTGAAGCAAACTGCAGAAGCGAAGGCACACCGTTGCAACACAGCGAAGAGAGCTCGTGTTGAGGACACTGACCGCAAGAGCCGTGAAGGACCAAGCTATGGTGCAGGGGACTTCTAGACACTTGCAGTGCATTCAAGGCAAGGTACTTTTCATTGTGCCCCAATTTGATGCAAAAAGAATGATTTCCTAATAAATGCCAACTTTGCGAACTTTCAAACTTGTTTTTCTCATTTTCATTTTTTCTGACAGTTTCACGTTTTCCGGGCAGCCTTTTAGAAACTTATATTCATTGTATAGTAACGAAACTTGACACACATATTCTTCAACACATGCAGAATGCAAATATCTACTCTAAATTGCAATGCCTACCAGCATTAGTTGTGAAACTATTAGCTTATTGTTTCAAGGGAGATTGAAAATAATAAGTCATTCAATACAATTTTTTTTTTTGGTTTCAATATTTCTGTGACATATCTATATAGATATTTGCACTTTTCAATCTACCAAGAGTCAAATAAGATCAGACACAGTGCTTTTACTGAAAGTTTAGTACATAAAAGAGTGCCCGCAAAAAATGTAACTTTTTGCTATTGTTTATGGCATAACTCAATAATTATAGCAGCTACACAAAAAATGATTGCATATTTGAAATCTGCATGAAAAACTATACTAATAACAAACTTTTCAAGTCTCTATTACTAGAAATAAAAAAAAAAACTTTTTTGAGGAGCGTCTCCTCTTAAGCAGTCAGCCAATACAAGGGGGTCAATAGAGACTTGGCAGGGGATTCCTCGCAACTACGTATAAACAGCAGTGACACATTAAGCGAGTACGTAATAAAGAGGTTTAACTGTAACACGGTGCACATTTGGCATATATTTTCAAAATGCAGCATGTTTAGCCTCTGTGTTCTCCAAGATTGAAAGATTAATTAGGTTACCCACATTGGACATGCATTGACCATTCTCATGAGGTCGGCATACATGAGACTTTGTGGTCTGATAACTCTTTGCGGTCGTGACAAAATTAATAGAGCTAACGAACAATGATGCAAGGAAAAGTGTAGGGAGTGTTATTAGAAGTAATTGCTATGTCAATGGGAAGAAAGAAAAGTGGACGAAAAGATAAATTGTTGCTGGCAGGGACTGAACCCACCACCTTCAAATAATACGTAGCACGCCTGATGCTCTACCACTGAGCTACTGTGGCAGTCATCCCTCCGTCCACTTCAAGGGGTAGGACTTGTAAGACTTGTTGGGAGTCGCACAGAATTGCAGCGTGACAGCGAGGTAGTCGGCTGTTGAGTGAAGGCCAGCCAATTCAGCTACGGTGGAGCTGGCGTGAAAGGGAATCGGCACTAGATGGTTGTCCCAGTCGATGCTAGGACGCATGCAGCTGTGGCCGAGTGGGGGCTGTCCCAAACGAACCCGTGTGTGAACACCAAAATGTGCCTTCGCAACCTGTCATGAAGTTTGGCACGGCTACCTGGTGGAGCTCGCACACCGGTGTCCGCCTTTTGCCAGAGGTTTTCCACCCCTAATTGTATGTCCAGAGACTGCAGATGTGGTGGAGAGGACTGAACAGGACAAAGAGCTTCGGGCACCAGCTCTTCATAGTGAGCGCAGATGTCTTCCATCAGTGACACTGGTCGACTCCGCAATCTCTGAAGGAAGGCAGCACTCCCAGGGGCCCTGTGAAGGCGATCCACATTATGCAGTGCCTGTCACAACATCAAGAGCGACAGAGGCCAGGTCTGGGCCTCCGCCAGTGTTGCAGCCACGGGCGACTGGCGTGGAAATCCCATGAAGTGCTGGATTGCCATGCATGTTGCCGCTCCAGTTGCTCCTTGCTTTGTGGTGCCAGCTGCACCAGGGGCAGTGCACAAGTTTGCGGAGCCGTTGCAGCCCCCTCGTAGAGCCTAAGGGCCAGTTGCGAGGTGCATTCTTGGCTGCTGCTGAGCAGCTTGCTTACAGTAGTCTTGACCCTGGTGGTCTTGAAGGCGGCGAGTTTGACAGCTGGTATCCAGGTAAGGCGGTGGCTTAGCACCATGTATGTCACTGTCTTGCTCCTTGGAATAGGCCGGTCATCGAGCACAAGCCTTCGCCTGGTCCTCCATGCAGCGGCTCTGGCATGAACCAGCAGCGCCTCCATCGTCGTGGGCGACACGGTCAGTTCGATTGCCTTGAAGAAAAAGGTGACAGCAATCTAAGAGCGTTTCGGGATTTTAACACCCATGACTGTAGCATTGTTTTCTGTTAGAACTGGAAATAGCTGGCTGCTAGCCAGATGCCACAAGTTTGAAAATCAATGAGTACCTCTCTGTTCTTTTGTTTTCGAGGGGCTTCTTTTTGTATCCTTGCTCTAGAGTATGGGCTTGTCAGCCTCAATTTTACTAGATTTGGATTGTGCTTTTTCTTTGATGATATGTTTATTATCCTCATTTTTTTTTTCGAAATTGTATCAAGGTTTTTTACTGTGTAGGTAGTTTTCATGCGACGTCTCAGACAGGAGTCGTTTAGAATATTTTGCTATCCGCTCTTAAAACATCAGTGGTTGCTCCAGGCTAGCATTTTTCCTGCCCCAAAAAACAATCAAGGCTGCTCCGGAGCACCATTTTTCCTGCTCCAGAATCTGCTCCAGAAATCAAAATGTCACTTCCCATCACTGTATACTGACCTATCCAGAGCAAGTACTCACTTTTGCAAAGCCCCACTTGAACGTATTATCCTCATATCTATTTCACCTATTATAAAAAAAAATGAACATAGTTGTCATGACCCAACTAACCTGAACTATGTTTTCTTTAATTTTAAATGTGAAGCATTTTTTAGCGAACTTCGGTGACTTGGAGCGTATCTATCTATCTGTCTAGCCGCTTATGTTTAGGTGCTCTCGTGGTCACCCCATTTACTTGGCGTGAACCAAAATTAACATGAGAGGGTAAGATGGTTTGAAGAATACGATGTGCTTGTCAAGACATGAATAATGTGACAATCATGTCGCGTACGTCGTCAAACACGTCCCATCAGACAGTGGCACATACCCACGGGCGGGTATGTGCCACTGGTATGCGGGTATGTGCCACAGGTGATTAACGCTTGGTATCTACCCAGGAGGGACGAGAACACACATGGGCAACTTTAACGTGCGAGTGTTAAGAAATACTCGACGTCGTCAGCGTCGACCTGACGAGTCCCAGCTGAAATCAAACCCAAGCATTCTAGGTGCCAATGAAGCAATTTATCACAAAGCTACGCCAGGTCTCGGAACTACTTTTGGACTCGACGCTAATCCTCGTGAAACGTTATTATTGGCTGGAGTGCTGCCTACCTAATTTTATAAACATTACATATGTGCTATTTTGATACAGACGTCACGTCGGGTTAACATCAGATGTGGTTAGTTGCCATGCGCTGAGGTTGACTTATATAGCAGTGTCTGGGGCCAGAATCTTTGCGAGCATCAGTGCTTTATATTAGCCTCTGGTGTTGCTAATGCAACACCAGAGACTAATATAAAGCTCCAGTTATATAAAGCTCCAGGCTAATATAAAGCTCCAGAGGAATATAAAGTTTCAGGTGACATCGTTGTGCAAGTGGAAACAACTGGTTATAAAAACATCTGCAACTCTTCACCATATGTATGAGCGTGCAACATTTGTACATATATTTAGCGTCATTTCATGATATGTTGCTGAACAAAAAAAATGCAAAATGGTCGCCTTTCCTCCGCACGCTTCGCATAACATGGATACCCAGGTACGTGGTATCTGCCGAATTTTTTCAAGTTTGAAACTACACATGTGCAAGATGTTCTTTTATAGTTAAAGGAACATGGAACACGTTAAAAAACCCCAGGTGGTCAAAATTTCCGGAGCCTTCCACTACGGCGTCTCTCATAATCATATGCGGGATTCGTGTCGTTGCACCCCAACAATTATTATAAAAATGTGGAAGCAACTATGAATAGTAGCAGGTTTTTATCGACTTTGATTCTTTTTCATTCATGTCATAATTATGAAACTACAGTTGAAAGTTATAAAAGACCATTCTCTATGCCTTGATGGTGTGTTGGCTTCATTAGGTTGTTTCCATCAAATAGACAAACCTCAATTGATTGCTTTGTATTGGCCACTCCAGTGTCAGTTACTGTGGAAAGCGGAAAACATTCAGTATTCAGGTGACCAAGGTTCTCCCTTTATTGGCCCTGTGCAGCGCACTGTGATGCAGTCTGGAAGGTGGTCTTTTCCACAGACCCCAACGTCTTTCTCTCCTGCAGCAAGGCAAGTTTCCCAGTAGGGCTCCCACTAGGGCGTTCTTGCTTTTTTTTTCATATATTTCTGATTGTTTCTTGTTACTGTAACATTGTAGTGACTATAGGAATTATCTTTTGTAATAACAAAAGCTTGAGTGCTTGGGCAAGTAACGTTTGTTAATACTTATATTTTTAAAGAGATACTTTTCCCGTGCTTTATTAGGCATGAAACTGCAGCAAAATTATGTTTCATCCGTATGGAGAAATATGTTTCCCAAGTACCCACTGTCATTTAATTGCTGTTGTAAAAATATTAAACAACTGCTATTGCTTGTAAAGTAAACTCTCATTCTGACAACCACATGACAGCTTGTTTTTGTCCAAAATGTAATAACTGCAGACACCTTTAGAATGGCTTTATATTTATAGTGAAAGGGACCGACAACTGCCCAGAACATGAAATGAGTTAACTGCATGATTGGAAAGATTGTCCCTCCCAATGACTCAAACCAACCATTTTTCTTGTCAAAAGTGCAGTTATATTTCATTTCTTCATGGATGGATGGATGCTATCAGCGTTCCCTTTATAGCGGGGCATTTACATGTGTGCCACCAGGCTTGCAAGGAAAATGAAAAGAAACCTTTCTGTTTATGTTGGCCTAATGCCTTATCAACAAAGAAAAATGTAAATTTGTGTTCCATTTCTTTGCCTCTTCGGGGATAATGACCTCAATTTTCCACTATTTCTGTCCTTTATCTCTACTTTTCTGCCACCAGTACTCTTACCGTCTCTTACTTGCTTCGATCGCGGACGTGTTCATCTTTCCATGCTTGTCCCTGAAACCCAAAGCCTCATGTAGGCTTGTACCCACGCCTATACCTGGGTGGATATCACCGCATTCTATCAGAACATGTTCCACCGTTTTCTTAGATCCCCCACAGCATGTACATTGTTCTTCCTGTTTATTGAATCTCGCTTTATGACTACATGTTCTAAAGCAACCTGACCTCGCTTCGTACGGTAAAGCGCTTCCCCTTGAATTTTAATGAAACCTCTCCCCTTATTTCGTTCTTGCTCTTTCGGTAGTTACTGAGAGCCGGCTTCTTTTCCATCGCTGTCATCTAATAAATCCTCTCCGCTTCTCTGACTTTTTGCTTAATGCTTTTTGTTGCCGTGTCAAACACACTGCCAGCCAGTCGTATGTTTACTGGTGAGCTTTCTAGTTCTTTTTCTCCACTTTGTGCCCACGCTCTTTCTATACAAATACCTGAACACATTCCCTGCGCATCTACTCTCCTTCATTTTCCTAAGCCTCTCTTCAAATCTCATTTTGCTCTGAGCTTTCCGGGACTTCAAAGCCTAAGAAAGAGAAAGAAGACATTCACCCGTTTGTAGCACGAAGCCACAAGGAAACCCAGTACAAATTTCTCAGAAAGAAAAGCCTTGTACTTGCCGAAAAATTTGTTTTGGTTCGGGGTTCGAACCCGGGAGCAATGCCTATTCGGGGCGAAGATGAGGTTCGGGGGGGTCGCTCCCGAACCCCATGCCTATTCGGGGCGGTTGCTCTGCCAATTGAGCTAACCAAGTTTTCGATTAATTTGCCCTCGTGCTGTCAATTGCTAGCTTTCTGGTCCTGGGTTCGAACCCCAGACCAGGACGAATTTTTCCGCAATGAAGAGGCTTTTCTTTCTGAGAAATCTGTATGGGTTTTCTTGTGGCTTCGTGCTACAAACAAGTGGTTGTCTTCTTTCCCTTTTTTAACCCTTCCGCCACCGTGCAGGTTTCCGCAGAACTCGTTTGCAATATTTGAAAACCTGTCCATCCCATATCCCCCTTTACAGCCTCATTCGTCGTCTTCACGTGGGCTTACAATGCGAGACGTCCCACAGTCCTTTGATTTACATCCATTCCTGCTTGGACCTCTGGCTTCTTGCTCATCGCTGAGTTCCCAAATATAAGCCCTGGAACCATTTCACCTTTCCACAGAGCTCGAGGCATATCGTACCTTGTTCGGTTTGTCATACACTCCAACGAGCCGCGCTACTCATCGACTTCGGTGTAACTCAAAAGGGGATTTATTACTGAAGCTTTAAAATTAATTGTGGAACAATGCAAATACACAAACATAAACTTCCGTGAACAGTTCCTTACCGGTCCCGTTAACCCTGGCTCCTGCGAACCACACTCCCCACACATATGCACACCGCACAGCAGTTCACGAGCAACTCCTCTTTGGCCGCTCGCCGTGTCCCCTTATAAAGAATGTTCGCATCGGACGCATGCGCAGTGGTCTGTAATGGGTGTTCTCATCGACGATGCCGACATGGACGAGAGTGGGGATATGATGTTTATCGGGAGTTCCCCACACAATCCTCCTTTTCAAAGAAAAGGCGCCGCCTCACCAGCTTTCTTGTCGACGAAACAGCTCCGGTCTCCTGGGGCTTCAGCGGGGCACCGCTGGCCGCATGCTTCGTGCGCTCGAGGAAGAGCGTCCTAGCGCTCATTTCTATAGTTTTCCCACGCTGGGTGCAATTTTCAGGTGCCTTGCCGGTGCTCATTGGCCTGAAACCGGAACTATGAGCACTTAACATCTTGCTGATAACGCCACACTTGGCGGACATTACCTCATTGCGCGTGCTGAACAGTGCCACGAGGTTGGCGGCTCGGTTGGTGTTGGCAAGCCTACTGCCCCATAAGTTGTGCTCGGATTCATTATCTGTGGCTGCGCTGGGCGTCGTGATAATAGCCATGACGCAGGCACGGTGGCTCTCTTGGCCACGGCATTGCCTCCTTCGGTGGCCTCTTTCTTGACCTCGACTACAGCTGCTGCTTCAACCGTTCTTGAATCGATTGCCTGGTCAGCGGCATCTCCGGCTGATATCGGCGTCTCTGTTTTCACCTTTTCTTTCGTCATCACAACGCTGTTGTTCAAAATGACGTCGTAAGCTAGTATGACTTAGATCGCCTCAGCATCATTAGTGGAGTCTCCGACCCGGGTTGCTGCCACAAAATCCATGGTGTTCTCGTCATCAATGTCGGCTCCTCTGGAGTCTCCCTTTGAGTCGGGCTCGGTCCGGTTCATTTCCGCGTCTCGAGGGTCGCCCTCATCCGTCTTCGAGACGTCGACCACATTGACCTCAGGCTCTGCTTGCGCCGCTGTACCCCGCTGCTAGAATGAGGGGGCCAGCCCACTGGCATCGCTGACAGTTGGTGCCACCAAGCCCCTTGCTGCAAGGTAGGCTGCAGACTCTACATGTTCGCTCGATGCGCAGAATGACGTGGTGACAGGGCCCCTTGTTAATTTCACCGGGGTCCTTGCTTCTTAATCCTCCCCACTCTATGCGAGCTGTAATTTCTTGGTATATTTCTCGCAAAAGCTGTATACAGTCATCACTTATGCCCACTTTCTTCAATATGTCACACAAAATTTCGTGATTAACGTTGTCATATGCCCTAGTGATGTCCAGATGAGAAACGTATAAGGGCTTTTTTTCTATTTAAGATATATTTATACACTGAGTAAGGACAAACATGTTATTGTCCGACCGCCTGCCGATACGGAATTCATTCTGAAGTTCTCCCAAAATGTTATGATGCTCTGCCCACGTTTAGATTTTTTTTATTTTACTGCCTGCATCGCCAACCTATATAGCACAGATGTAATGGTTAGTGGTCGATACGGGTGAATGTTAACCTTTTCCCCCTTGTCTTGACAGATTAGGTTCGGTCTACTTTTCCACAAAGTGTCTGATATTTCCTTCTCCAGTAAGCACTTTTTACGGATTTCATCACTGCTTCTTCAGTTCTATTTTCTAGTTCGTTAGTGAGACGGATGGGAACACCATCTAAGACTTGGTGACCAATTACAACATAATGTTAACAATATTTCCTGTTAATACCGTTGCTGTACCTCAAACACAAAATTTTATAAATGGCCTCAAACATTCAAATTCGTAGAACGTAAAGCCTATTGAAAAAAATCTTTAAAGAACTTCATCTTCGATTATTCTTAAAATCTCAAAACGTTCCTCACAGATGATAGAAAAAGAATATTGAAAAACATATCGTTTATCCTATTTGCAGCGACAATATTACGGGGGGAAGTTCCAGCTTTTCGAGCATGCACTTAGGCGACAAACGCATGAGAAATCGGGCTAAAAAAAGGTGGGCTTGAGCGTCTGTTTGAACAGGACCATACTTACAGAGGAGAAGCACATTGAGGAATAAATTTCCTTCTCCACTAAGCACTTTTCTACGGATTGCATTAGTGCTTCTTTAGTGCTATTTCCTTGTTCCTGAAGGAGGTGGAGGGGAACCCCATATAAGCCCGGGGAGCTTAGGAATTTTTACCTTGGCTTTTTTCCAGTTGGAATTCTCAAGTACTGCCTCTTCCTTGGTTGCACTATTTTTCATACTTTTACTCACCGGGGAAGTCCCCTGGGCACCCTTTGTAGGCGAATCTGCTTTTACCTTTCGGATATAACCTAGTGCTTCATACCCTTCCAATTTATTTTCTCCTTCATCTACCACACGTGTTGCATTGTGGCAGACTTCCTACTTAGCACTTTTAGGTGGCTCCAAAATATTCTAGACACAGCCTTCTTCTTTTCGCAAATCTTGGTCATCCAGCATTAATTTTCACCTTTATTTTTGCCTCGACCAATCTGCACAATGTCTTTTTTCTATAAATATATTTCCCATATTTGGTTGACTTCATCCTCTGGCCGCATCTCCCTTTTTTGCCTGTCTGTGCTTCCGTGATGTCTCGCTTCACTTCTTGATTGCTTTCTGAATTTTCTTGTTCCATCAACTTTTTGGCTTTCTCTTTCCTTTTCAATAAGTAGTTTTCTTCTCTTTTTCCATCCTCCTTGTTATTACAAGTAACCAGCTCATTATAGTCTTTGCCAGGTAGTTTTTCTACTTTGTCCTTGACTCTTGTGGCTACATATGTTATTTGTGTGTCATTTAAATACAAGCTCACAAAGTTTTATTCCATGTTCTGATCTTCACACTTTTATATCTCATTT